AAATATTTTTGCTAACCTGTACCATAATATTTTTCTGTTTGCTGCCTCTTACTCAGCTCTCAGCTATAGTTACATTTGTGGACTTAACAGACTGATACCACAGAGGAATACTCTGGTTGTGAGGGTCTGCAACATTTTCCACTGATAAAAATGTATATATCTATTGCTCAAATACTCAGAATTTTGAACCATGTCTCTAAACATAAATTTTATATAAGTACATTATTGACATTTTACTCTGGGGGACAATTTAAATTTAACAAACATTTTCTTTGTTCATTTTCCTTAAAAAATTATCATATTTTAAATATTTTTCTTCTCTTGCGCTCATGACATATACTACATATCCACAATCATATACATTTCTTATTTACATAAACACACAATAGCAAAATTATATCAAAGTATCAAGAAGGCACACGGTTTTATACTAATTAGAAAAATATGATTCCTGTGTCACTTAATTATCTGTCCAATTTCTGTTGATCACAGGATTGGTTAAAATTGAAAAGATTTCTGAATGTGTTGATCTTTCTCTCACTCTTCCCTACTTCTTGGAGTTCATTTGGGATTAGAAGTAATTACCCGAAGGATAAGAACATTATACTAACAGAGAGTTATACCATTTTCTTCTAGAAAGACTGCTCCCTAATAGGAACATGTGCTTACAGGCAAAAGTCTAGTTTGAGAGGAAAACGTGACTTATTTCTCTACAAACTAGCCTGCACGTTCTCTTCATCAATACATGCCCTAACATGCGGAAGCCTTTTCCACATGGTGCATCACTCTGCTCTGGGGGCTCTTTGAAAGTGAGCCTTTCAAGTTCATGCCCTACAGATCCCTGAAGTGTCTGGGAACTTACCCTTTGCTTTTGGTCTGAAAATGGAGCGCTTTGGGGCTGCACAGCATTGCCGAGCAATTCATTACAGGACAAAGAAATGTCTGGGGTTAGGCAGGCAAGCGACTAATGGTCCTTCATTTTGTCCAGAAAACATCAAGATCGATATGTGGGACATGCAACATTTATGGAACACTATGTTTTCGTTTCCCTCTAGGGAAAGGAGAACATGCTGGATGGTCTCTTTCCGAGGATGGCTACAACGATTGACACTGCTTAGTACTCATCTTCGGCGTCTTCTTCCCATCTGCTAGTAGCAACATAGCCACCTGATCTTTGTTAATTTCCTGAATATATACATATATATATATATATATATATATATATATATATATATGAATTCAAATAATTTTATTTTTGGCAGGTATATTTAGCTTCATTGATTGAAATAACCAAAATCTTGGGATAACATTATAAATCAAAATGAACAGAGCTAGTTCTGAGACGCTCTAATAGGCATTAATGATCCATGATGCACTCATTAAAATTAGATCTTTTACGAACAAACAAAAGGATCCCAGAGAAAGAGAAAAAAAGTCAAAAGAAGCATCTACACAGGTTGCTTCCAGCTCACATAATCTGTCAGCAAGGAAAACTCAATATCATCATGAAATCTGTCTAATGAATAAATTGTTCCTAGAATAATGCAAATCAAAATGGAGACAGCAATATAAATGCAGTCCCGGTTACATGTCCTTGCAAATATCCTTAACTATGATGTTTTTATAATTTGAAAATCAGAGCAATGTCAAAATTTTGGGTTGAAGTTATTTTTTCCTGGTTCTTTCACAGAAATGACACAGTAGAGGATTGGGAAACTAGATAATCTTCTGAGAGGAAAAAACTAACTTTGCATCTCCTTTAAGAGGAATCATTGTCAAAGTGACAGGAGCCAAAATGGCAATATGTTTGCTCAATGACATGTGCACATGTTCCCAAGTCATTCCTGAATGGAGAAGTAAATAATGCGAATTTGGCCCCATTGTTCTCTACTTGTTTAAAGGAAGGTTAAAAGCAGGGCTCTAGTATGAGAAGATAACTGACTTAACATGAAATCTTTTCAACAGCTTTTACAGGGCCTGAGAACCTCAGGTCATTGTTGTATCACTGTGGGTCCCTCAATCACACAGCCTTAAAGCATTATATTGAAACCATCAATGCGAGTTCTATAAAGCCACAAACTTCTGAATTTAAAGATGTCAAATCATGAGAATGTGGAAGCCTGGGTTTTTAAAATAACTTTTTGAATTGTATTTTAGTTGCAGGTAGGTCGGATCAATTGTAGTTGGTTTTAATTAGGACTCCCAGAAGCCACAAGCGTATTGAAAAAGTTAGGAAATCAGCCACTCCTTCTGAAAAGATCAAAGCTATGGCCTCCAATCTGATATCAGAGCTCTCAGTGACATCCCACTCAATTTTCAACATGGAATAGATAACTGGATTAAGTTGGGAGTTACTGTATATAAGATTTCAACCTTCTACAACAAATAAGCAATGAGGACAAATAAAGGCAAACCGCACACACCTAAATTTAGTTATACCTGTCTGACTTACTAAATGTGCCCAATGAGGGCATTTTACTACTGTGTCTTCCAAAATACACACATCTTGCATGATGTCCTGTTTTATTAACACCAAATTGAAATATCAAAGATTAAATACCTTCTGTTAGCCTTTATTGAACTCTGAACTCCAATTTGCATGAATAAGCAAATTCAAATACCAATTATGATCAATATTGTACATTTCATCCTATTAAGGTTGAGTGCAAATATCAGAAGCATAAAGTTATATCTCTAAGAGTTTTATAACTGAGAACAATTATTTCGCCTCTCATGTTCCCATGAGATAAAAGTGGAGAGAAACTCATAACTAACTTCTTGCTATTCACAATGTTTCCATTGGGTGTAGCTATGATATTAGATAGGCTGATATCAGAGCCTGCATATTCAGGAAGAATGCCCCGACATTTGGGGATTTTTAGTGACTCTCTTTGTCTTTAGCATTCAGTTGTGTTAGTCAGCTTTACATTTTATGGGGAATGCAAATCAAACAGTTCCAAATCAATCAAGTCAATAAGTATTTCAGTGTCTTTTTCTGAAAAGGAAGAAACCTTAAAAAAAAAACCTGACACCTGTATTAAAACTTAAGTCAAGAATACTTTCTATATACTTTGTTCATTCTTAATTTTTTAGATAGCCATATAATTCACACCTTCTATATGGATAGGCCTCTTTTGGATGAAAAGGGATAAACACAGCAAAAATCCTCTAACAGTACAACTCCTTTCTTCAATGATGGGTCTGAGCATAGTGTCTTAAAGTGCTTTTTTATGCTAAAATAAAAGATAAATAAAAAGTATGTCTCCTAAAATGCAAGGGCAGCTTACATGCTGAGATGTAAATTGCTAACTCTTTTCTGAACAACACCATATGTCTCAGATAGGTTCCAAATGCAGTCAGTTCTCAAGGGAACATTATGCATGGGAGCGAACCAGACTGAGGCACAGGCTACACTGTGTGTTGATTCTCCGATTAACCAGAGATGCCACTTTGGATTTTGCAGATCATCCAAGTGTCAGTCTGAAGGGCTCTTCTCCTTTCCTGACATCCTCCCCAAACCAACCAATTCACAAAGAACCCTGACCCCGTCACAAAAAATATTTCTTTTTGTTCAAACTTCCTCTTGTATAAACCTCAACATATTTTAAGGAATTAAAATGTTCAATTCCCTGCCCTAACCGGTTTGGCTCAGTGGATAGAGCGTCGGCACGCAGACTGCAGGGTCCCAGGTTCGATTCATGTCAAGGGCATGTACCTTGGTTGTGGGCACAGCCCCAGTAGGGGGTGTTCAAGAAGCAGCTGATCGATGTTTCTCTCTCATCAATGTTTCTAACTCTGTATCCCTCTCCCTTCCGCTCTGTAAAAAATCAATAAAATATATTTATAATAAATAAATAAATAAATAAAATGTTCAATCCCCGAACTCTCTAACCATGGATTTGAAGTAATAGACACATTAAAAAGACTATAGAAATCCAGTTTACAAAGATCAAAAAGGGGACATCTGTAATACTTTCAACAATAAATACATTTTTTAAAAGACCAAAAGGAAAAATATTGTAAGGCCGAAGAAGTTACATTATTCTGGAGAACCACGAAAAACAAAAGAGCAACAAATAAACCAACATGCATTAGTCAGATATTTCTTTATTCATTCATTGTAGTTTTTAACATCTCTGTCAAGTTTTAATGTTTTCATATGGGAGTGAGATATATTTTTAAATGTACTTATCTAATATTAAATACCTCCATATATGCTACTACCAGGTTAATATCAAATTAAGGCAGGCATTTCTGCTTAAGCTCTGACATGTGATAGGTTCAACTTTTGTATGTTGAGTGTAATTCTTTTTTTAAATGTAATTCTTAATAGCATAAAGTTATATCATCTTACTATATATGGACTTAAGAATTTTGCTTTGGGAAATGAGAAGTGCCCTGGGACAGTCTAGGTTGGTGCTCCTCAATCTCTCTCTGATGAATAGACAATTTTAAGAAATTTTTCAGTATGTCAGTAACTGGTATTTTTGTAAAATATGAACTTATGCACCCAGATGGTATGACAATGTCCATTTGCTATGAAAGCTTCTAAATGCTTATGCTCACTTTCTGTACTCTTCTTGTCATGGACAGGCAAGATATGTTTGGACACTGGCATCAACCTGTGGCCTCTACTGTGCATATCACTATTCAGATATTTATAAAAAGAAATCAAGATAATGCACCCATCTGAATGACAGGAGATATAAACTTCCTTCACTTTGAGTGCATCTTTAACTACTTTTTGCTATATTTTTCTTCTAATTCACGTTAGGGGATGAGCAGCAGAGATTCAAAAGGAAGGCCATTGAAGAATCACCAAAAAGTGTGTGGCAGTTTTAAGAAAGATGAGTTGCTACATGGTATTAAAAATTACACATTTATGAATGGATCCTTTTCTATCCCAGTGACCCACTAAAGGCCTTAGCATGTACTCCTTCTAATCCCAACAAGAAGCCCAGACACTACTGAATCATTACTTAATGGTATGTGGGTCTTACCTGGGATGCCAGGCGGTGTTTTCAGATATTTTCCATTAAAATGTTGAATTACCACTTCACATTTTTCAGTAGACTCCATTCTGGAAAAAGAAGTAAAGGGGGATCATATACTTTTCACAAACTTGTGCATATTCAGGAAAATAAATAAAAACAAAAAGGAAAATGGAAAAGCTCAATTTGTTTTACCAGAATTTGCCAACTGTTACCATGACCACCATGACCAGATCTACAAGACATCACAAACACATCATTTCTGAGAGAGTATTGCTTATGTGGATGTCTCTGTGCTGAGTCCTCAACCAGAGGCAATACTAAGGCATGATCTTATGTAATCTATACAACGTTTGGCAATTAAATGTGCTCTGGCCTGGCTGGTATAGGTCAGTGGTTGAGCGTGGACCTATGCACCAGGAGGTCATGGATTGGATTCCCGGGTTGTGGCTCAATCCCCAGCAGGGGGCATGCAGGAGGCAGCTGATTGATGATGTGTCTCTCTTACCAATGTTTCTATCAATCTCTCCCTCTCCCTTTCTCTCTCTTTAAAATCAATAAAACATATTTTATAAATGTATTTTTTATTGTTGATAGTATTATAGATATCTCCCATTTTCTCCCCTTTCCCTCCTCCTCCCAGCACCTAACCACCCCCCAGGTCTTCATTACTCTATTGCCCGAGTCCATGGGCTATGTATATAAGTATATAAATTCTTTGGTTTATCTCTTCTCATTAAAAATATTTTTTAAGAAGTGCTCCATAAATACCTGTTAAATGTCTAAATTAGAAAACTTCATTATGGCTTTTCATATCAGGGAGGGTGCTGAGGCTTAGAGAGGTGAAACACTTGCCAAGAAGTTTAACTGAGACCCATCTGACATCAAAGCCATTCTGTAACTACTAAGCTATCCTGCAGAGGGACTTCACAAAGCAAATTGATGAGATGTGTTTTATTTCAACCTCTTCCAGCCTAAATAATGGTTAATATAGTAGTGCCGTCATCAGTTTCATGACACTTTCATTGATAACCCATTAGAAAGATACAAAAGAGAATTACTTGGTGTCTGTAACGTGAGAGGAGAATGTAAATACACAAACCTCAGGTGCTGAACTTTCTTCATTTTGAACAGCCCTTGATTTTTTTATACTAGATAACAATGTTCCTAAACTGGGTTTCTTGTGCCAAATTTTGTCATCTCACGTAGAAGCTAATGAATGAACATTTTGAGCTATACCATCATCATTTCAATATTGGCAGAATCACCATATCCTAAGTAGAGTAGTATTGGCAACAATTTTAATAAATTAACTATATCTGGGCTTTATTACTTTATAAAATTGGATGGAAAAGATAAAAAATAAAGGGTTTACTCTGATTAAAGGAAATTAAGTCCCACAAACAGCACAGTAGAGACAAAAATTAAAAAAACAACAACCCAGAACACATCCATATGAAAGGATGTAAGTGAAATGTGTGAAATTTGTCTAAAAGGCAAAGTATAATTTAAATGTTCTGCTCTGTTATGAATATGAGCTTTCTGGGAATGGAGCCCTTTGACACAAGTTGTAAAACTTTTCTACCTCTAAATCTTATATGTGTTTTCAGGATCATATTATTTATAAGACAAGGAAAAAATATGTAAGCAAAAGACAAAGAAGTTATGCATTTATTACAGCTATAGGAACTGAAATGTTGTTTATCAAAATAACACCTAGGTTGATCCATTGGACCATTGGATGAACATAGGTGTTATTTTGATAAACAACAAGAATGAACCGATTTTATGTCCAAATGAAACAAAAAAGAAACTCTTTAATCTTAGTAACATGCAACTTTAAAAGTTAAAAATATAAAGATAGCATTTTGTTAACTGCTTACTCACAATTTCCCCCAAATCAGAAGACATTTGGATTAGAAACACAAGGTGAAACCTTGCTCATTCCAAATATTTTGGAGTAGCTAAGTACAAATTTTCAACTTCTTTAAGTTTTCTTTCTGGTGAATCTTTTATAGTAAGTCCTCCAACTTTTTTTTTTAAGTAGGAAAGTTCCATTTCTAGGAACAAAAGAATTCTAATTCTGTTCTTTCTCTCTTCCCACAGGATCCACTATCTATTGTCTCTTAGGGAAAATAACCTTCTCTCCTAGTAGAGACATGAATGGGTGAGGAAATGTAAGCCCTTAATGACTACAGATGTTGCTTTATGGAATTTTTATTCCAGGAGAGCTACAGAATAAAAATCTTATGCCCCAGAGTCCCCTTCCCTATTCAGGCTCTCTCTGGGTACCCATCTCAGTAAAAGGCAGTTAAGAATCTAAAGCTTGCTTACAAGAGTCCTACAAATCAAACCCTTTTTCTTTGTCTTAAAATGACATAGGATTCTACCCTCGCCAGTTCGGCTCAGTGGAGAGAGCATTGGCCTTCACACTAAAGGGTCCCAGGTTCAATTCTGGTCAAGGGCACATGCCTGGGTTGCAGGCTCCATGCCCAGTGGGGGCCGTGCAGGAGGCAGTGGATCAGTGATTCTCTCTCATCATTGATGTTTCTATCTCTCTCCTCTACCTTCCTCTCTGAAATCAATGAAAATATTTTTTAAAATGACATGGGATTCTAAATGAAGACTAAAACCTAATGGTGTCAGTAAATGTGTGTGTGTGTGTGTGCACTTGTTGATTCTGTATTATGTGTTTTAAGGAATCCAGAGATAGCTAAAGAAGAACGTCACGTGGCTAACCCACTCGACCGACCTAAAACATTTCTGCCCTGGTTTGAAAGGCTCGTTTTCCTTTTTGGATTCTATATATGACCGCCTTTTCTGAAGACTGTTTTACAGCCTCATCAAGCCGGATGGGGGCTGTTTCTAGGAACACAAAGACAGCAGCCTAGATTGTTCACTTCAGCTTCATTCAGATTTAACTAAGTCAATGTCTACATTGAGGCTTTAGAGACTCTCCTCTCTGAAAGAATAAATGCAATAAAAGTCTGTTTTCTATCCCTGCCGGCGCTTAGTGTCAAACCGTGTTACGCCGCACCACCCAGCAGTGACAATTTCATTTTAATACACGGGGCACATTTTAACAAGGCAAAACAGTCCCAGCAAAGACAGCAAGATCAGAGCTGCCAAGGGGAAACGCTCAGTGTTTCTCATGCATTTTATGTGGGAGCAGAACAAAAGTGAGACCCATGGAGGTGGGGGGGGGATCGGGGGGAGGTGAGGGTTGGGGTGGAGGAGGGGGGGTGGAGATTGCATTTTAAAAGCTACCTCTGAAGAATGTGCCCATTTTCTTCTCAAGTTTCACAATTAACCGCTTTGAAATGCCAGCTCAAGCTATCTGCAATCTGGCACACGCTTCAGTTGAAACTGACACTAGCATTATCAAGTGAGTCTGAAAAGGCAGCACGCCAGACAAAGCTGCCTTTACATGTCCCTTTCAGACGGGCCACTGAATCACTACAACCGCATCTATTCTTCCTAGCAGGTACCTGAGCCCCCTCGCGTCCCTCGGAGCAGCTCGCATGCCAGGCCAACCATTCACCCGATGATACATTAATTAGGTTCTTACAAGGCTCTAATCATTGTATAAAGCTTAAGGGTTTTCTGTTAGGTCTGATGTTTAAATATAAACACACATTAAAGGCCCCGGTTGACATTCTTTCTTGTCTCAGTGCCTAGGAACCTGGCTTCCGTCATTCAAAATGCATCACAGAATTGTGATTTTTTTTTAAACATTTTTTTTTTCAACAGCTATGAAGAGGAGCTAATTTCACAGCCAATACAATTCCCACAGGCAGATGACATCAGCGGAGAGCCCGATCCAATATTAGTAAAATGTTCTGGGTCAGGCTTGACGTGCAGAGGTAAAGAAGTGTTTTTGCAAAAACCATTTGCAGCCCACCTATCTCAAGCCCAGTAGAGGACTTCTCAGGGTACGACCTTAAACCAATAAGCGTGATCAACCATGTATTTAAAACAAATCCGCCCTGTCATTTTATTATGCTTAATTAGAGGTTTTCACTATTGCCAAATTTTTGTGGTTTTGCAATCACAGGCTCTGTGCAAATGATCGGCAACTTAGAAACATCCCACACTGCAAGGCAGTCGTCCCTCATTTCGGGTAAGATTTACGCCAAGGGTCAGCATTAAAAGCTTCTTAAAAGTACTGCAATGTGCACGCCTGACATTTTGAAAACAAGTTATGTCATTTACTCCTTAATCCACTGTAACGGAAGGAATAACTGGGAGTCCCAGGAACAAAGGTGAGAGGATGACTTGAGTTTTCTTCTTAGTTTTTGCAATTTGTTTCCTTCCAGCCAGATCCTGGACACCCGAAGGATACGAGTGTCACACATGTCGCATAGTGGCGCAGGGTGGCCTCCCTGCTGTCTCCCTTTGCAGAAACCTCGGCACCTGGGTAGTCTTGCTCAGCATTACAGCACATCCTCTTAGGAAACAGAGGTGTGGACGGTATTTGACTAATGGAAACTCACTCCCCAGTTTGGGAATCATGTCCATTCGAAACCAGAAAGAGCCTCAGGTAACGTCAACATTACCCAGGTGCAGAAGCTAACGCCAGGAGACTGCGGCTGGTCGGTGGGTGATCCTGGACTAGAACATGTGTTTCTTGACTTTCAATTCAAGTGGCTTCTTTGGAAGAGATGGAGCTCCCCGGTGGTCTCATGTCATCCTCCTGATTTCCAATATTCATCTTCTTTAATCCGTTCTGAAGCCGGGTGGGTCCTGCTAGCTCTATTCCACCACAGCCGCGACTGACTGGAGCGGTTGTTCTAAAATATGGAGATACACCCTGATATGACACGACCAGAAGGGCACTTCACCTCTCTGGTATTCATTCCAAAAGTATGCACATCATATGGATCCTATCATGGAAAGAAAAATCAGACAAACCCAGATCTGGAGTCATTCTGCAGAAAACCCGGTTAGTGCTACTCAGGAAAAATCAGGAAACTGAGAAACTGTCACAGAACAGAGCAGACTGGCGAGACCTGACAACTAACTGGAAAATGGTACATTAGACTGGATCCTCGAACAGAAAGAGGATGTCAATGAAAAAAAAATTGGTAAA